GCGCTTCGCGGTCCTCGTTCCTTCTCCCCCCTCCTCCTCGTCCTCCTTTTCTCCCTTTGGGGGGGCGGCGCGAGGGCGCGAATTTATTCGCGCTTCGCGCTTCGCGGAGCGCGAAGCGCGAAGTTGGGAGCCCTAGTGTACCGCTGCTTGTCCTGAAGAGTCCTCGCCACCACTGCTGGGTTCTCCTCGAACTTCTGGTCAGGAGGCAACCCGGGATAGGGCTGGTGAGTACAGTCAACATCGATTGTGAGGGTGATCGACTTCCCAAGGGTACCTGTACATCTCTGCCTCTTCGATCAGCTTCGGTCCGCCCTCAACCGCTTTCGATGGCCAGCCTCGCTCGGAAGGCTTCCAAAGCCTCATCGCGCATCAACGCCATCAGTTTTCAAGGCCCCCGCATCCCTGCCGCGCCTCACTGCTACGGTCGGGGCGTTGGTTAAGGAACGTGCCCAAGAGGCGCCAGACCCTGGAGGATTCCTTATCTGATGAGGGCGGCGGTGATATCCATGACCAAGCTTCGATTGGCATTCCACGGGCTTCCAGACCCTGGATTCCTTATCGAAGGGTTCCTTATCCAACGCCCCCACCGTATCGGTTCTGACTGCAGCGGCAGCCGTGTCGGGCACCTTGAAGCCGCCGCAGGAGCTGCGGGCGCAGCGCCGCCTGTCCCTGACCGGCCCGGACGGCGGTCTCGCCGAGGCCGTCGCGGCGCGCGGCCCAGCCGGCCCGCACAGCAACCCCGCCAGCCCCTCCCAGCTCCGCGGTCGGCGGGCCACCCCCAAGGGCCAAGGGGGGGGGTACACATTGTTCATGTCTAGGTCTCCGAAAGTTCTTTGATTTTTTGGGGGGCCAGGAACACTTGGAGACGAGCACAATAAGAAATGAGCACGATTAGAAATGAACGACGTGTAATTAGGGCGCGCGCCCAGGGTCAACCAAGCCCCGACATGCTCGCCTCAACGTGAGGGGGGGACGGCTCAGAGGGGGCGCAGTCGTCGATCGCTTGGCGATCGGGGGTCGATGCGTGCCCCCCCCCCGAGCTCAGGAGGGGAAGAAACACACACAGACACAATCGTCGATCCCCAGGAAAAGATGGGCAAAGATGGGAAGTGGGGGGGAAGACAAAACCCCAGAACACACGGGAAAATAGGGGGAATCTTGTTATTTGTGCATCTTTGTTTGTGTGCCCCAGGGCCCCTTCATGAGCCTATGCCCCCCTGGCGTTGCCTATCAGCGTGATGCAAACGTCACGACGGCCGGTTCTTGGCCGCTTTCGGCCTCCAGGGGCCCTCGCGGGGCCCTCGCGGGGCCGTCGAGAGAAACGCCTCGGGGTGTAAGGCCAGCGCTGGGGAAGGGGTCGCGAGACCTCGGGGGGCCTGGGACTGAAACGTCAAGACGCTGGATGTCTGGGAGCGGACGCTCCAGAGCTTCGGGAGCGTTTCAAGCCCGGATGGGCCCAGGACCCATCGGGCCCAGCGATCTCACCGCACCGCCCGGTGCATGAGCGATGCGACTCGATCTGGGGCTCGGTGTTCTCCACGCCGACGCATCGCAGATGCATCGGCGATGTGGTGCGACCCTCCGACCCCGCCCGGGTCCCGCCCCATCTTGGGGAGGCCCCCGTTCCTTTGGGAGTGGCTGGTCGACCGCGGGCCCGTGCCTTCCGCATGGCCGTGCCCGAGCTGGACGCCGCTGGAGCTCAAGGTGCGACAAAACGACGAAATCACCCCGACCCCCATAGCTGGCGTTGACCGAGCACCCTGAGATCCTGGCGTCGCTGTTTTTTTGAGTCGCGCGTTTTCGCAAGGTTTCGGGCCCCCAGGACCCTCACAGATGGATCCGGCTCGAACAATGTAGCAGAAAGGTGGGGTCCGGGGTTCTGGCCGTAATTTTTCACGATGTTGCAGTACTTTCGCGTCGTCGGATCTCAGGGAATAGTCCTGGGCTCTTGCCAAACAGCCCTGCCCTGCTCGATTCCTTCCTGTAGGTCCGTTTGCTAGAAGCTAGAAGCTAGAAGGGCTTCGCCTGTCGGGGTGCTTGTTCCGTCTCATCCGACGGCGCAGTTTTTTTCGTGACGTGGGCTCCTGGGGGTCTCGGCCTCTTCCCAGGGACAGGCGTCTCATCCTGGGCCGTTTCTTGACGGTCCTGGAGCCGGGAGACGACCTTCAGATGCCAAACGCGTCCACCAACTGGTGGTCGCGATGTTTATACGTCGCTTGGATCTGAGCGTTGGGCAGGTGGGCAGACTCCGTTGGGCTTCAGCTTCTTGGGCACGCCCTGAGGTGAGCCCAAATTGGCACCCACAACTTGGCATGCTTCTGATATCCTAGACCAGACATCCTGATTGAGCAGAGACGGCGACCTTACAACAAGTTGCACAAGTTTCACGAGTGCAGCAGCTGTTATTAGGGGTGCCCCCACAGGGTATAAGAGGCGGCGCATGCAACGTGCAAACGGAAGCAGTAACTCCGTGCGAGTTCGGTCGTTCAGAGCCAGTGTCAAGCTTCGACAGTGAAATCCAACACACTCCCCTCGCCGATCAACGAGTCAGGCAACTCGATGGGCGGCGGGGGTAGGTTTCGGAATTCGCCGAAAACGCGGCGACATCCGAACCCTACCCCCGCTTCCCATATATTCAGGAGAACCGATGGATAGTGGGGGTAGGGCTCGGATGCCGACGCCTGCAGCTTTCTCGCATCCCTGTCCTCTCAGAGGGCAGCTTTTCGAGGAATCGTAAGGCTCGAGTTCGCTGGAACTCTGGTTTCCCGACGCTTTTCGACGAGCCCATCCTGGAATTTGACGTTCCAGTTCTTTTGAGATGTCTGCAGCGGGAGCCCGCGTCAAAGTTCAGATTGGGTCTCGTTCTCTTCCTGATGGTCCCGAACCCGAGTTCTCGGTCTCTCCAAGTTGTTCTGCCCGCCAGGGGCGTGGGCTTGATTCGCCCGAGTCTCGATTCGCCCGGCCCGATTCGCCCGGCCCGATGCGCCCAGTCTCGATGTGCCCGGCTCGATGCGCCCGGCCTCGAGTCGGGCGAGTCGCGAGCCAGGCCCTGGCGAGGCGAGCCCCGGCGAGCCCGGCCCCGCCGATCCGAGTCCCTTATAGCGAGCCGAGACTCGGGCAGACCCGCGGTGCGCACCGCCGATGCCACTCGCCACAGGGCACTGGATATCACCACCCACCAAACCACCCCAACCCAACCCGAAGGCCCAAATTTATCCTCGATTTCCAGTGGGGGGGGGGTCGGGGAACGTTGAAAAAAACACATGGTATCCGTACCCCCCCCAACCCGAAATTCGGGTCAAATTCGGGTCTTCGGGTTGGGTTGGGGTGGTCTGGTAGGTAGTCAGGATGCCCTGCGGAGAGCCGGGGGAGGGGCCCCACCCGACGCCATCGCACCGTGCGCCACCCAAGGGAGGGGAGAGGAATCCCGCTGGTGGCGTGAGCAGCGCCCATCCACAGACGTCGTCGACCGTGCCCCCCCCCCCGACCCCTCGGCCAGGAGCGCACCTCAGCCCCGAGCCGAGCATGGCGGTGCACCGCGTGCGCACCTCGGCCTCGGTGCCGAGCCGCCCGTCGGGCCCGGGCAGCAGCAGCCAGGCCCTCGACGGCTCCGTCTGCCGCTCCTCCGCGAACGGCTCGGCGTGCCTGTCGCTGGAGCAAGAGGCCCTCCGCATCCTGCCTTCTCCTCCTGCCTCCTCCTCCTCCTCCTCCCCCAGACGGGCTGACGAGCTGAAGGCGATAGGATCCGTCGGATGCGGCCCTCCCCTTCCGACTTCCCCCTCCATCTTCCCCCTCCTCTTCGTCCTCCTCGTCCTCCTCCTCCTCCTCCTCCCTTTCCTCCCTCCTCCTCCTCCTCCTCATCCTCGTGCTGCTGCGCACGCTCTGGGACGTCTTGTCCCGCAGCGTCCACCGCTGCAGCGCCCGCGGCCCGCCGAGGGGGTCGAGGAGGCAATCACCCACCCGCCATCCCCCACGGTCCCTCGGCCAACGAAGACGGCCGTAGGGATGGGTGCCAACGTACTGACCTGAATACCTGACGGAGCCAATTGCCACGATCCAGTGTCCCCCCCCCCTTTTGTAGCATTAAGCAGCGACGAGCTTGGAACGCCAAGTGGGGGGGGGGGGCGGCAGACCTAACGCCTTGGGGGCGCCAGCGGCACGGCTCACCCCTTCCCCCCGGCGGCGTGGGCACGCGGGGAGATGGGGGCCTCCCTCCCTCCCCGCGTCGGAGTTTGCTGAAGTTGCACCTGGCCCAAGGTGCCCCCAGCTCTTCGCTCCAGTCTGGAGCTCCTGGGGACCCCTGGGCCTCGTGATGGGGTGCTCTGACGCTCCCCCCTTCCCTTCCCTTCCCCCTCCCCTTCGTCCTCCCTTCCACTGGTCCTCCCCACCCTCCCTCCCTCCCTCCCCCTCCCTTCCTCACCCACTTGTCGGTCAGGAGGGCGCCAACCTTAGAGTAGGAAGCGGTACCGATACCGCTACCCTTTGGCGTCGTTTTAGCATTTTTAGGCCTTCTGATCGACCCTCGTCGCCACCGCTGGATTCGCCTCGAAATCCTAGTCAGAACGCACCTCGGGAGAAGTTCAGGGAGTACACCCGTCAACTTTCTGGACCAGACCCTCGGCGTCTTCTTGGAGCTTCCCTTCTCCGTAGAACCTGCGCATATCAAGACATGGACTGCAAGACAACGCCTCGATGGATGTCCACTTCCTTGGCTTGAGATGTCCTTACGGTGGTGGCGTTGGTTGAGGAATATGCCTCGGAGGCTTCAGACCTTGGAGGATTCCTTCTCTGATGAGGTCGGCGGTGATACCGGCAACTTGCATAATAAGGACGAGCAACTTTCCAAGATCACCCTTGCATCCTTCCCCTTCGGCCCATCCTTGGCCGCTTTCGCTAGCCGCGCCCCGCCCGCAAAGTGTCAGCGCATGGACTCCCAAGGCCGTTGCATCCTTATCGTGCGTCCTTATGATACGGGTTGACTGCATCCAAAGCCCTCACCGTAACTCTGAGCAGGGGTGTAGCGCGGGGCGGGCATGCAGGGCGGGCGTGCAGGCCGAGGATGCCGAGCCACCGACGGGCCGCCGCAGGGGGCGTTCCAGAAATGGGGGCGTTCCAGAAAGGGCCTCGCCTCCGAGGATCGAGCGGATCGCCGTCTCCTCCTCGGCGGAAGCCGGCGGAAGGCTGGCGGAAGCCGGCAGAAGAGAAAGGTGCGTCCCCAAAGGATGCCAGCAATTTTTGATTCAGGGTTGCCAGAACCCTCCATATTCAGGAGCGAAAGAAGGACGTACATGTACATGAATCCACGCTGGTTTCGAGAGTACGCATTGCGCAAGTGTTCGTACGACGCGGCCGGTCTCGCGGATCGAGGGGCCGTGTTCATGTACATAGCTGGGCGCGTACGTCCTTTGTGGGCTCCCTACATATATCGAGGGGTGCTAGAAGGTGCCTCTGGCCCACGGTGCCCCCCAGATCTTCGCTCAACCCTGGAGCCCCCCGGGACCCTCTGGGCCTCATGAGGCGTGCTCCGGAGGCCGTGAGGGCCTCCCCGGCAATGCCGCGGGCGCCCCGGGGCCAGGGGGGGCACTTCTGGCAGCATCCGAGCAGGAGTCCCTCCCAGTCCGCTGGGAGGGACCCGCGGGGCCAGGAGGGCCGAGGCGGCAGTCTCGTGACAGAAGAGGAAGGCGCTATCGTTTTTTTTTGCCCCACTCGTCAGGGCGCCAGCGGGGGGGGGGCGCTCCACCGGGGTCGGCCCACGCGCAGAGGGGGGGGGGCAGGGGGGGAAGGCCGGAGGCCTCCGAGGAGCACCCCTCTTCTCAGAATGCCCTTCCCCCTCCTCCCTCCCTCCCTCCCTCCCTCCCTCCCTCCCTCCCTCCCTCCCTCCCTCCCAGAGTCCAAGAGCGGTTCTTGTTTTCATTCTGAGCAGGGTCCGCTGTTGGAGTCGTCGCGGTCGATACCCGTTGGAGGCACAGAGCCGCCTGCCCAACAGCGGCCGCCGTCGGTTTGGGGCAACATTTCTTGTTGGGCAACCTGCCCATTTTCTTCGTATCCAGTTCGGGCGTCTGAATGTCTGGAGCCGGCGGCAGCAGCCACCCCCAAGAGAGTTGAGTCTAGGGAGGCCCAGGGTTTTCTCAAGCCGGCAATGGTTTACACACACGCCAACCTCCGCCAGGCTCACTAGGTAACTTCTGGGCCCAGGATCGGGCCCGGCCAGGACTGGTGTTAGTGTAACTAGTTGGCGTGATTGTAAGAGGTGACTCGGCTCGAGACGCTCGACAGCAAGGTGAGCTACCTCTCGCCGATGCCGCGGACTGATACGAAGTGGCGCTTGACAAGGAAAAACACGTACAGGTCTCAGAACACGTGCAGGTCTCAGGGAGACTGAACCAAACGGATCATAAGGTCAGAATGCTCGGTCTCCAACACTGCACCTTCCTGCTGTTGTTGCGGATCCTACTCCTCGCCCTCCTTGCCGTGGTCTTCGTCGTCGTCTGGGGGATGAGTGGCATGATGATGATGATGATGATGATGATGATGATGATGATGATGATGATGATGATGATTATGATGCTGATGCTGATGCTGATGCTGATGCTGATGCTGATGCTGATGCTGATGCTGCTGCTGATGCTGATGCTGATGCTGCTGCAAATGATGATGATCATGATGATGATGTTGATGATGATGATGATGATGATCATGATGATGCATGATGATGCTGATGATGATGATGATGATGATGATGCTGATGATGATGATGATGATGATGATGATGATGATGATGATGATGCTGATGATGCTGATGATGATGATGATGCTGACGATGATGATGATGATGATGATGATGATAATGATGATGATGATGATGATGATGATGATGATGATGATGATGATGATGATGATGATGATGATGATGATGATGATGATGATGATGATGATGATGATTTTTGGAGGAGGAGGAGGAGGAGGAGGAGGAGGAGGAGGAGGAGGAGGAGGGAGGAGGAGGAGGAGGAGGAGAGGAGGAGGAGGAGGCGGAGGAGGACGAGCAGAAGCAGCAGCATGTTGAGGAGGAAGACCAGTCTTCCCGTGAGCGAGTGGGCGGGCAATGATGAGGATTCCTTTGTTTTGGAACTCTACGCGTCGCTCCGCCTGGGCGCATCGAGCAAACGTGGTGGCTGCAATGCAGGGAAGTGGAGCCACCGCGACGACGACTCATGCAGGTGCTATCCCAGAGACAGTTTGTGGGATCGGTGCCTGCCGGGATTTCCCCTTCCTCAGCACCCCCAGGATCACCTCCCAGGGGATCCCCGCCACCCCCAGAGGCGCTCAGATGCCCGCTGCCGTCGTCCCCGCACGGACTGGGCTCGCTGCTGAGCGTGGCAGCGTCTTGTGCGGGGGATTCGCCGGTTCCTCGGGAGCCCCAGTGCTCCCCGGACGAGGGCCGCTGTGGTCGGGGGGAACCGTGTGAGCCAGGTGGGGGAGGGCCGTCGTCACCGCCGACGTCGTCTTGGACCAGGCCCGTCGCGGGGCCGCCTTCTTTAGGGGCACCGTCTCCGTCCCTCGGCGGACGCGGGCCGTCCGATCCACTGTCGGGAGAAGGCGGGCGGATGGGAGCGAAGGGGCCTCTGCTGACCAGACGATTGAATGCGCCTCTATCCGCCTTTCTGGCCACCTCCTCCTGGGGCAGCGGTGCCGCGCCGACCTGCGGGCCCAGCTCCCCGGCTACCGGGCGGAGCGGCAGCCCGAGATTCTCCAGGTTAGTGGCAGCCATGCGAGCCATCGGGGTGCCTTGCCAGGGGGCCTCTTGGCAGGCAGTTGCATCAGGGAGGACTGCGTGGACCTGGCCGTCCGTGCTCAGTGCTCGAACCCAGGAGCCCCGTCCCCCGCAGCCCTGTCCCACTGCCTGGCTCCGTACGCCGCTGGGGCATCTGGCTGCTGCTGCACGCCGCCTTCACTTGTGAGCCTGGGGTCGCCAGGGGTATAGGACCCAACCCCGCGGGCGCCTCGCGCGCTGGCTGAACAAGCCTCGCAACATGCGCTTCTATCAGTTGCAAAAGTCGTGGTCTTGAAAACCCTGCTGCCTTTGAAACCTAAGAGCGAAGACTGATAGGTTTCTAGTGGTCTCAAAAGAGAGCATCATGACTCCCCAGGGGGGTCTGGGCAGATGCCGGCCGGGTGCCGCGGGAATCCGGGGACTCCCTTTTTGCATTGCCAGGAGCCACATTTTGACTGCCCGGAGCCAACAGAACACCATTCCCAGGCCACATTTTGAATGCCCGGAGCCAACTGTAGGCCACTTCGTGTTCTTCGTGTTCCCAGAAACCATTCCTGTACCATATTTCGATTCCCCGGAGCCAACAGTGGGCCACTTCGTGTTCTTCGTTTTCCCTGAACACCATTCCCAGGCCACATTTTGAATGCCCGGAGCCAACTGTAGGCCACTTCGTGTTCTTCATGTTCCCAGAACACAATTCCCAGGCCACATACTGTGAATGCCCGGAGCCAGCTGTAGGCCACGTCGTGTTCTTCGTGTTCCCAGAACACCATTCTTGTACCATATTTTGATTACCCGGAGCCAACTGTGGGCCACTTTGTGATCTTCGTGTTCCCACAAGACCAGTCCTGTGCCATATTTTGAATGCCCGAGCTGAGGCAGGCTGAGGCCGAGGCAGGCTGAGGCCGAGGCAGGCTGAGGCTGAGGCTGAGGCACGCCGAGGCAGGCTGAGGCTGAGGCTGAGGCAGGCTGAGGCTGAGGCAGGCTGAGGCTGAGGCTAACGCAGGCTGAGGCCGAGGCAGGCTGAGGCTGAGGCTGAGGCAGGCTGAGGCTGAGGCAGGCTGAGACTGAGGCTGAGGCAGGCTGAGGCTGAGGCTGAGGCTGATGCAGGCTGAGGCTGAGAGGCTGACGCTGAGGCTGAGGCAGGCTGAGGCTGAGGCTGAGGCCGAGGCAGGCTGAGGCCGAGGCTGAGGCAAGCCGAGACAGGCTGAGGCTGAGGCTGAGGCTGAGGCTGTGGCTGTGGCTGAGGCTGAGGCAGGCTGAGGCTGAGGCAGGCTGAGGCTGAGGCCGATGCAGGCTGAGGCTGAGGCAGGCTGAGGCAGAGGCTGAGGCAGGCTGAGGCTGAGGCCGAGGCAGGCTGAGGCTGAGGCCGAGGCAGGCTGAGGCTGAGGCTGAGGCAGGCTGAGGCTGAGGCAGGCTGAAGCTCAGAGGCTGAGGCTGAGGCTGAGGCAGGCTGAGGCTGAGGCAGGCTGAGGCTGAGGCCGAGGCAGGCTCAGGCCGAGACGAGGCTGAGGCTGGCTGAGGCTGAGGCTGAGGATGAGGCCGAGGCAGGCCGAAGCTGAGACAAGGTGAGGCTGAATGGGGGGGGGGGAAGGGAGGGGGAGGGGGGGGAGGAGGGGAGGCTGAGGCAGGCTGAGGCCGAGCAGGCTGAGGCCTAGGCAGGCTGAGGCTGACGCTGAGGCAAGCCGAGGCAGGCTGAGGCTGAGGCTGAGGCTGAGGCTGAGGCAGGCTGAGGCTGAGGCAGGCTGAGGCTGAGGCTGACGCAGGCTGAGGCCGAGGCAGGCTGAGGCTGAGGCTGAGGCAGGCTGAGGCTGAGGCCGAGGCAGGCTGAGGCTGAGGCTGAGGCAAGCCGAGGCAGGCTGAGGCTGAGGCTGAAACTGAGGCAGGCTGAGGCATCCGTAGGAATCCATAGGAATCCCTAGGAATCCATAGGAATTCTTAGGAATCCTCAGGAATCCGTAGGCATAGTTAAGCATCCTCAGGAATCCTTAGGAATCCTTAGGATTCCTCGGGAATCATTTAGGAATCCCTAGGAATCACAATTCCTAAGGATTCCTAAGGATTCCTAAGGTTTCCTAAGGATTCCTATGGATTCCTAAGGACTAAGGATGCCTTAGGAATTCCTCGGAATCCTTAGGATTCCATAGGATCCTAAGGCCGTTGCCACTGCGACTGTCATTGCGAATGCGACTGCGACTGCGAGAACGGCAGAATTCTACAACTGGATTCTCACCTGAATCTTAAGGGGAATGCTTCCAGATATGCTAATGCACATCGCTGTTAGGTTGCTTTGCCGGGATAATCCGAACCATCACGTGGTGATGGATCCCCATTTTGCATACGTATCGCCCCGCGTTTCCTTCCTCCGTCCTCCGTCCTTCCTCCTCTTCGATTCTCCCTACTACTCCCCCTTCCCCCCCTTCTCCTCCCTTTCTCCCCTCCTCGCGCGCTTCGTGGCCCCATAGGGAGCCTGACCGAAGGCCGCAGTGGCAGGAATCACATGCGTCCCCCCGAAATTTGTGGCACACCCCTCGCACGGTTCGTGGCCGCACAGGAAGCGTTACGGGAGGCCGCAGTGGCAGGAATCACATGCGCCCCCCGCCCATTTTTGCACGCTCCTCACCCGTTTCGCGGCCTCGTAGGGAGTCTTACCGAAGGCCGCAGCGGCAGGAATCACGTGCGCCCCCCCGCCCGTTTGGCACACCCTTCACACGCCTCGTGGCCCTACAAGGAGTTGCTCCGAAAGCCGCAATGACAAGAATCACATACGTCCCCAGGCCCGTGTGGGCACACCCCTCACACGCTTCGTGCCACTGTAGGGAGATAGGGACCCTGACCAAAGGCCTCAGTGGCAGGACTCATGTGCGACCCCCCCACCCATTTTGGCACGCCCTTCACACGCCTCGTGACCACAGAGGGAGCCTTACCGAAGGCGTCGGTGGCAGATATCACATGCGTCTCTGGGCGCCATGTGTGGCACATCCCTCACACTTTGCGGCAGTGGTAGAAATCACATGTGTCCTCCCGCCCGTTTGGGCACACCCAGCATGCGCTTCGTGGCCCCGCACGAAGCGTGACCGAAGACCGCAACGGGAGGAATCACATGCGCCCCCCCCGCCCGTTGTGACCCACCGATCGCATATTTCGTGGCGCCATAGGGAACTACACCGAAGGCAGAAGCGGCAGAAATCACATGCGTTCCCCCGCCCAGTTTGTCATACTCTTTGCACGCTTCGTGGCCCCTGGCATAGGGCGGGAAACATCGTCCTCCAGTCGGCAATACATCGCCGATAGATCGGCGATGGGCCCCCGGTAGCAAATCCACACGTTCTTGGGCTGGGTGGGGCTATCGGTCCCGTTTTGGAGATCAGTGGGCCATTGGGGGTCGATTCATCCTCCCCTATGCTTGTCACCCCTATCGTTGCCCCTGGCCGCAGCCACCTGGGCCGCAAGGCGCGCCGTTGGCAGCACGTCCACGCGGTGCGGGCGGCACGCGGGCGCCGACGCCGACGCCGACGCTGACGCCGATGCCGACCCCGACACAGACGCTGACGCCGACGCCGACGCCGACGCCGACGCCGACCCCGACGCCGACGC